CCCCAAAACCCCAAAACCCCAAAACCCCAAAACCCCGTAAATAAAGATCGATTTTAAATAAGGTAAATGAATAATTGAATAATAATAATAAAGTATTTTATTAAGGAGAGTGGACAACAATTATGAAAGCAAATAATGAGCAAAACAGTAACTAGCTTCATAGCTCCTCTTCTCTCATTAAGTTTAAGACCATAGACTCAATGTCAACCATATCAATCACTAATAATAACCAACCAACCAATTAAAGAAAAGCTAGTTAACTAAAGCCAATAAACGACTAGGAACAGAGAGTAAATAAATAATTAGTATGATCAATTTTAGATAAAACTATTGCGTCTTCTAAGTGTTGAGAATCTAAATAATGGTTTGAATACTGAATGAAATTTACATAATCCTAGTGTAGCTAAATTTTAACCTAAGGAAGTACTTGAAATTAATGATGATATCGATGAACTACTCGAAAGCTAAGACGATAAACAACAGAAAATTGAAAGGATAATGTCATAATTACCCACTGCAAAGAACTTCACTCCTGGAAAGTTTTAAACTGTCCAGCCTGAAAATGATGACAGCTGAAAGTTTAAATTTTCAGCTAAATCTTTCAAAATAAGTTTCAAGCCTGCTAAATTGTAAGGATCAGACAATGATGCTACACATATGAAGCTAATAAAGAAAATAAAGACAAGAACGAGTACCAATGAATAGTGTGAAAATGATGCACTTCAAAATAAAATAGAATAATCACAAGAAATTATAAAAGCACCTAGGAAAAATTAACATGGAGCATTGATTGACTCGCAGAAAAACTTATTTAAAATTAAGTTGCATAAATAGATTAAGCGTTCATCTCTACTTATTTAGAATCAAAATCAATTATCAGACTAACCTACAACTGATGAGAGATCATCTATACTTGTGACAAATTCAATGGACAAGAGAACTGAAACTCTGCAAATTCTAAGCAAATCTTCTTCTAATATCTACAAACTCTCCCCAGTAAAGAATAAATTTATTGAGGCAGACAAAAATTGGTAAAGATTCACTAGAGATTATTAGAATTTACATTTAAGCGTAGATATTCGATAATTCTATCTTAAATTCAGACATATAAAAAGAAGTTTTAATAGATTATAATTGATTTTCAGAGAAAAATAAATAATGAAACATAAAAATCAGTAGTGCATTATAATTTAATAATATTTGAAAGGGTATCTTGTTCATAAGAAAATTAGGTCAACAATTAGTAAGATAATTAAAATACAAGCACTGTTTAGAAGGATTATCTAGAGACGAATATATTTGAAGTATTTAGAAAAGGTAATAATAATACAAAAGTTTTGGAGAATGTTCAACAAAAAGAGGTCATATGTTAAAATAAGACGCAATGTAATATAAATATAATCTCTGCTAAGGATGTTCATTAAAAAAAGGCATTTACGATAACTAAAAGCTACAATTAAGATTTAGTCGGTACTTAGGATGAGTATTCACAAATAGAAGTTCAAAAAATATATTGCAGATAAACGTAAAAAGGAAGCTAGAATGAAACTTATTGAAGATTAAAAACGGAAAGCTGAGGAATTGAAGAGAAGGAAAGAAGCTGTGAGAGTGATTGAAAAATTTTGGTAAATAAGAATTCTTAGAAGAGAACTAATGGAGAAAAAGAAATAATGGGAAAATTTACCTCTAGATTGCAGACTTTTATGGATGAGGTTCTCCGCTTTGAAGGAATAAGCTTTCGATCTTAAAGAAGAAATAAGATATCTTAACAATAAAAAGGCAGATAAAAAACTTGAACTTTTGTAGGAATAACAATGATAATGAAAAAAGAGTTTAAATAGAATGAACCTTCACAAATTTCTTAGTTATTTCAGTTAAGAACTTAATTTTATAGTTAAATAAGATACCTTATACTTGTATTAATTATAAAATATTTTTTAGCTAGATTTCAGAGTAAGAATTAAAAATTACACTCAATTATTTCATTGTAAATAACTATTGCTTATACTATTTTATTCCAAGTTTGTCCATTCACCAAGTAGAATCTTCAGAGGCATTTCCATCATCATCAGATTCCTCATCTGAGTCTTTGTTTTTATTATTCCCCAACGCTCTCATCATTTCTCTTCTTTTCTCTAGCACAGCTGCAAAATTTTAAGTAAGATTCATTTGTTATGATTCACTCATATTTTTAACTTTTGCATTTATTTCTTTTTCCTGTACTTTCTTTAAGTTTTGTGATTGAAGGACTAACTGCTCATTGAAAGATAAGGCTTAATTTTATTGCTATATACTGCTGCTATTTGTATTTAAAATCTATGGAGGTGGCTAGATCTTTTAATTCAATGGTGGAGCAAGAAAACCAGTTGGAGGTGCCATATTCATCGGTGGGGGAGGTATCATTCCCATCAAAGGAGGTGGGATTGGAGGAGGTCTCATTATCTTTTGTTCTTCTTTTTATCCGCCATTCTGATCAGAAGCCTATCCCAAACTTTTATCTCTAATGTTATGACTTGATCTATTATTATTCAATGCATGATTTGGCAAATTATTCATTAGCATTGCCTGTTATTTCTTGTACGGATCTAACATATCTATTGGTCCACTTGCTCCAAGTATATTGTTTTAGCTTGAGAGATGATGTGTTATCCCAAAGTTCATAATAGAGTTTGACCTATCATTCATTAAAATTCTGGAGTCTTCATTGGAAAACCTGTTAGATAAAAAATCTTTGTTATTTAGATTGGAACTTGTTCTTCCTGATTTCAACTAGCCTTTGGAACTGTCAAATTCTATTCCTCTTAAAAGCACTTCATATATCGCTAAGGCTGTTTCTTTTTTCTTCAAGTCTTTTTTCTTAAATCCAGCCTTTTTCAATAGAATTTTTATCTCTTTTGGTACCTCGTTAAGAATGAATGTCTAAGTTACAGGATCCCACCCTGCATGCTCTTTCCTTTCAAAGAGGAGCGGTCTAGTAATATCGTAGTTTTAATTTCCAAGTTTGCTTTTCTACTCTTTTACTGTATCAGCTACATTCTCACTTTTAATTGAATACTATAATATCAAGTTTCTGAAAACGGAGGCATCATGAACGTTTGCAAACTAAATCCCTATGTTTACTTTTTCTAGAGGAAAATAATGAAAATAGTCACTTAATTCCTTATACTTTTGATTGAAATTTAAGTACATCTCAGTTTGAAAGAGTAAATCACAAGTATTCATATCGTATAAGCGAAGGTATTTTGAGTGCATTTTCCTATCTGCAACAATACAAAGAGCTCCACCTAATTTCATTGACTAGAACCTTCCCTCAGCATCTGAATAAAATAATCGAACTATTGCCATTGCTATTGCCGTTGATTTAGGACCGATTCCAGTAGTAGATGAATTGTTGTAAAGGCCCATTTGATATAGCTTTTTCTAAAGCTACTCTGTAACTGAATTAGAAAAAACCTTAAAGGTTTGCACAGTATTGATGTTCATGATATTATTGGAAATAATATTTATTTATTAAATTTAAAGCCATAAATTAAACATTAAAATGAAATACCTAATAAAAGCAGTGACTACTAATAACAGAGACTTGAAGACAGCTCTGCTCTTTACAATTGAAGAGAGATCCTATTTATTTAATTGTCCAGATGGATTTTAAAGAGTAGCTCTATCTAATAAGGTGAAATTTAAGGGCGTCAGATATGTATTCTTGTCTGGTATTTAAGCAGATTACTATGGTGGATTTCCTGGTTTCTATTTATCATCAAGAGAGTCTTCCAGTGGCACTATAGCTGACTTATAAGCTTTCAAAATTGGTGTAATAGGCCCTGCTAAAATAAAAGAATTCATAACTTAAGGAAGATGTTTCTATGGTGGCTTGAATTTTATTGAAATTTTTTAGTATGGAAAACTGGATAGATTTTACACAGAGTAATTTCAGAATGGCCAATTCACCCCAAAAATAAGTAAGCATGATCCAAATAATTTGCAGACGGAAAAATCAAAGAAAGCAAAAGCTTAGCAATAACAGTTATAAAGCAATTAGGAAGAAGAGAAAAAATCTTATGAGATTTAATAAGAATTAGAGGAGAGTTAAGAGGAATGCCATGAATTTTAGGACAATTACCTCAAAGTTATTCCTATCAAGGTTTATTCTTCAGATCATACAGAATTAGAGAGCTATTCATTTATTTGCGTGCCAAAGTAAAATAGAGGGAAATTTCTACCGAAAAAAGCAATAGAATTAGGAGCAGATCCAAAGTTCCATTTCAAGATTCTTAATGAAGGAAATACTGTTACACTGGCAGATGGAAGTATTATATATCCTTATTAGTGCACTGATAATCCTCTTCCTTCTTAAAGCTTTATTTTTGTCTTCATTCCTAATAAAAACTACCTAGAATCATTCCTATCTCCAGAGAATAAATAGTTATTTGAACAATTTTACTTTGAAAATATTGATTAAAAATGCAACTAGATACATTTAATCTACCATTCAGTTGCATTTGAAGTTCTGATGAATAAAGATTACAGAGATTTCATGAGATAATTTGGGCTAAATGTTAAGCATGTAGTAGATTGCGAAGAAGTTAATGATGAAGTTCAGATGAAAGTAAAGGGATACCAACTCAGTAGTAGGCATGCTTTAGTTTGTCCTACATTAATCCCATTGAGTAAAATGGCTATCTAGCGACATTAAGAAGAAGCTAAAACTTAGCTTGCAGAATTTCACTAAGTTTATAACTTATTGATATCTCAAGTTGGTTAGGTTTTCAATTTATACCCTATAAATTCTTCTAATGTCGTTGATAACTCACAAGTCATATAATTAAAAGACCTTTATACTGAAGAGGATGAATCTTTAAATACTGAAATGCAGTAATTGATAAAGTCATTATTAAAATTGAAGAAAAATGAAGATCCTAATATGGATTTAGAACAGTATACTCAATTAGACAACAGCATTGATGATACTGAGCCATCAATATTATTTTTGGGAACATCATCAATGAAGCCAACAACTTACAGAGGAGCAAGTGCAATATATGTATTTATTAAGGGTAGCGGTATACTGATGGATAGTGCAGAAGGTTCGTATGGCCAATTATATGATCATTTTTAAAAGAAAGAAATTGTGGATGAACATATTCTCAAGTTAAGAGTAATATTTATCACTCATATTCATGGAGATCACTAGCTTGGAGTCCTTAAAATTATGGCTGAAAGAGACAAGCTCTTTAATATGGCTGAACCTGGTAACGAACTTTACGTAGTCACTCCTTAACCTATGTGGGATTACATGACTGATTACATAAATTCAGCTCTCAGATATCCTACAATGGTAAAACTTGTTAAAATTTCAGACCTCAATCCAGAACCATAACTATATTATGATAATGAAAGTCCCTAATATAATCCCAAGCAACCTCATATCAAAGAAGGAAGTCAATTATTTAAAAGGAAATATTCGAAGACTTCAGTAATTCTATGCCCAGTAAGAAGTTATGAGGAAGTCAATTAAATGATTGAAAATCATTAGCCAAATCATTAAGTATCATAAGAAATGTTAAGAATGCTAAATGAGAAGATGAATATCACTCATATGAATGCTATCGAAGTAAACCATTGTGTCGAGTCATTTGCTTGTTTATTTGGGTCTCCAGACTTCGGTAGAATTTTCTACTCAGGCGATACATTGCCTTGTTAAACAGTTATCAACTATGGTTAGAATGTTAAACTACTTATTCATGAAGCCACATTCGATGATGCATTAGAAGCAGATGCTAAGTCAAAAAAGCATACTACTGTTGGCTAAGCTATAGAAATTGCAAGAAAGTGCAAACCATGGAGGACAGTGCTCACTCATTTCTCGCCAAGATACCAGAAAATTGGTGAGATTGATAAAAGGCATCAGGAGCACAGGATAATGGTAGCCTTTGATCATTTGAGATTTAAGTTAAGCTATCTTGAATGGGCTTATAAATTCCTACCTATTTATAGCAACTTCTTTACAAATGAGAGCACAGACTCAGAAGCATAATATGATAAGAGTAGAGATTTCATGCTACAGAAATAAAAGGAGATAAATGATATCAATATTCAGCAGATTTAAAAAACACAAAACTCAACTACTGCTAATGCAGAAAATAAAAAATAATGAGAACTGATTGATTTGTAAGGGTTTACACGAAATTTAACATACTTAACTATCTCTTACTTAATTAAAAATCTATTCTATTAATTAATTTTAAATCTTAATAATTGATTAAACAAATTAAATGACTGACTAAAACTTGCCGACTCAAGACAATAAATGTCTTTCGATGGTAAAAAACTGCCTAGCATGTATCTTTCCCAAACTTCTAGAAGGACTTACTCACCCAGATCAAAGAGATTAGCTGCCAATAAGAAAGAAAAAGAGCCAGTAGTACTAGAGAGTGAGCAATCCAAATGTAAGTTAATATCTAAAATAATGTGTCTTTTGATTAAAAGATCTTTAAGGAGGATGACGAGGAAGAAGATGACGAAGAGGCAGATGAGGAGATTAAGTCGTCCAATTAGATAGGAGATAAGCCAACTGCTTAATCAAATGAAGAGGACTAAAATCAGTTCTTCAATGAATTTTAGTCATGGCGCTCATCACAGTCGAATCCATAAAAAACTAGCAATGCTAATAACAGCAACTCACCTAGTAAAAATGGGAGCAAAGGTTAGCAGTAGCAGCAGACAGAGCTTGCAGAGTTAAAGCCTGCCAAAAAGGGTTAAATACTGTTGACTCTCACAGAGAATGAAATAGAGTAGCAGAAGAATAAAATATTAGACGAGGGAAGTGATGATTTGTTCAAAGGTTTTACACAACAATCATAAAAGGAGCGTAAATTACCTCCTGCACCCTCAGTAAACAGGGATCAGAGATCTAAAGCATAGCTAAACAATCTATTTAACGATCTTACCACAAATTAAACGACTAATTAGAGTTAGAATAGTACTGATCTAAGTGGCCTGCCTATTTTCCAGAGCGACGTGTAATAATTAAATTCAGGTCAAAATGAAGATTCGAAATAAGATATATTAGAAGAAAAGGGATGGGATGATGAAATAAATATCAATATTGAGTGACGAATGAAATGATTTATCTAGATAGTGATTTTAATGAAGTAGATGATGAAGATAGTAATTTAGTTAAATTTCTTTAATTAGTATTTATTTGATTCGGATTAATTCACAGATTTTAAAAATATAACTATAATTAATTCAAGTCAAATAAGTGAAATGTCGAATTTATTGAATATTCTTGATCACGATAACGTCAACTACTATGACAATGATAATTTTGGAGACCTTGATCTGAATGACATTGAAATCTAAGAAGATATATAGGTAAAAGAAGATGCAACAACTGTGACATCCTCAGTGGAACATAATAAACTGTTTGATCTCTCAAATCCAAAATAGAAAACTAAAGTTAAAAAAGAAGAATAAAAACAAAACCAAGATGATTCATTTGAACATGAGTTTAATGAGGATGGTGGCCAAGACTTTTTAATAGGATAGGCGAAGCTATAAAATAACTTTGATGATGAATTCGACTATGATGACGGGGAAGATTAAAAGGTAGTTGAGGTTCAAACTTAAAAATTAGATAAAATGAAGAGTGATACACAAATAATAAAGAAAGAAGAAAATTAAGACCAATAATCATAAAAACCAGATTTTAAAAAGTTTCTTCCTACCAAAGACGAAGTTAGAAGAAAGAATTATATAGGTGATGCTATTATTGCGGAAAGAAATGAAGGTGATGAGATCGATGATGATAGTGATTAGCCCTAGAACTATCAGGATGGTAATAATGTGGCTGGTTACAGATCTAAAATGATGAGAATTACACAAATATGTGAGGAATCAATAAAAGATTACAAAGATTAAATTAAACAACTTAACATTAAGTAGGCTGAAGATGATATAGTCAAGAAAGCCAAAAGGGAGGCACAGAAAATTGAAGAATACAAAAACAAGTTTAGACAATCAGCATTTGGAGGGGTTATAACTAATTAGCTCTCATCTTCATTGGAACGAATAAAGTAAAAGTTTGCAATGACAGAGGAAGATAAAACTAAATACTAATAACTTCAAGAATAATTAAGCTAACGTGACTCTAAATAATCATCGGAGAGGTCAAATAAAAGGCTTATCAAAGTTAAAAAGATCATAAAAAGTTCAGCTAATTAAGATGATTCGCAAATTCCTATTGAAATCGGAAAATCCCAAGATCAAAAAAAGGCTCTTGATAAAAAAGAAAGCAACAATTATGATATTGATATTGAAATGGACAATAAAATTGATGATAATAAACTATAATAAGCTAAGAAAAAGAAAAAGAAAAAGAAGAATAAGGGGGGAGAAGATAGTCATAGATAAAAGAATTTTTAATTACAATCAAGTGAAGAAAAAGAAGAGTTAAAAGAAAATATTTAAATTTATAAGGAGGATGATTATCGCTAAGCTTATGGAGAATTAGTGTCACCTGTCCATTAGAATAAAACATAGCAAGTTAAATAAGTCATAGATAATATTTAAATAAAGCAAAATGTAAAGCAGTAGATTGAAATTCCTAATAACAAATTTACTATGCAGTAAAACATTCAAATGCAAAAGTTTGAGATTGAAGAGCACAATGATTAGTCCACTGTTGATTGGGATGAACTTAACAGAAAAAATAAACAAAAAGTAATGTAAAAAGGCAACGAAGAAGATGAGAAAGAAGATATTGCTAGAAGATAAATAGTTTATAGCTATGAATAAGCCAGAGATTACTTTTAATCAAAAGCTGATTTACAGTCTCAAATATAATAGGCGAGATAAATTCATCGCTAACAGCAGCAAAACTAAGGATTCTTTTAAAAATTAGCTAATTGCTTTACATCTTCAAAGTTTAGCAATCCTCAACTAGAATCTGAAAAAGATCTAATTCTAGGTTTAACCTTACTTAAGCTTGAAACATCTCTTGCTGAACATGAGATCATTATAAAAAGTATATATAGAAAACTCTTACCAAATGATTAAAATTGCAGAACTATAGGAGCTCATTGGGGCAATATAGGCTTTTAAGGTAATGACCCAAAAACTGATCTAAGAGGTGGAGGAATGCTAGGCATCTTAAATCTGCTTTATTTCGTTGATAAACTTCCTAAAACTTCAATATTAATACTTAAACACAGCTAGATTTAGCAATCTGAGTTCCCAATGGCTGTTAAGATGTTGGAAATGACTGTGATAATAATAAAACTGCTTAAGTAAAGTAAGCTGACAGCTCTATGCAATTAAGAACACTCAGTAATTGAAACTGTCAATAAGCTATTTTGTGCAGCATTTTTAATGTTTATGGAAACTTATATCTCAAGGAAATGCAATATTACTAATGTAGATGAGTTGAATAAACAAGTGGAAGCAGAGCTTAGAGGTAATCTGCGAGGGGTAACTAGTGAGTACTTTTAAATTGATGATGACAAGGGTGAAAGTCTCTTAAAACAAAGCTATAAAAATTAGAAGGAATATGAATTAGAAAAAATCAGAAAGCTTATGGACAAAGCTGATAACACTTAATTTGTAGTTAAATAAGAATCTAATCATAATGCATAGAAAGCAAGAAATTATGCCAGCAGTGAATAGTTTATACAAAAGGAATAGAGGCCTTAGAAACCTTTAAGTAAAAATGGTAAAAATGAGTTTTCTGAATTTTGATGCAAATATATATTAATAACATTAATAAGATCAGTTTTATGAAATCCAATATTTTCACTGGGGTTTTGGGGTTTTGGGGTTTTGGGGTTTTGGGG